GTAGAGGGGGGAACTTCCCAAGTTTAGGGTTTTGGGTTTTGGGGGCATTCCGAGGAAGTTCATGGGTACTTAGTCTAGGATGCCCAGTAGTGCCCTTATTCCCTTTTTTGGGGTTTGGTTCCCTTATAAACCCCTCTAAGCAAAAAAGGGTACCCCGTTGTAATCCCAGGTTGCTGGGCAACTTTAGAGTTACACGTACCCTAAGTAAGGATATCACCATAGTTACGGTCCTGGCGCTCCTCCCAGAGGCCTTCTGTGGTTTTGGGATTTTGGGCTTAGGGTTTAGGGTTTTCCTCCCCCAGCCTTTCTCATCCCTCTTCCTCAAAAAGTCTCCCGCAAATCTCGCCACAGAAGTGCTTGGGCACCTGTTGTACTGTGGGACAGCCATGCCCCACCTGACCCAGACGTCCCAAGCCTTCACAGGACCCTTACATCGGAAGGCATGCGGGACAAACACGACCCGACAGGACATGTCCCAGACGTGCGCGCTGCTGGATGCTGGCCTGGTGGCACAGCTGGAGCAGCGATTGCGGCTCAGCGGTACCTAGGGCCGAGGGAGCGAAACCCCAAACCAGAGAATTCGGAACCATAAGCCCTAAACTCTATTCCAGATTGTTCTTTGGCTAGCTAGTCAGGTGGCCAACAACTGGTGCGGGCAAGGCTTCATTCATGGCTGGAGTGAGCACACTTTACGGGATACTGTAATCCCCTATAGAACTGAAAGTGTACACTTTTTGGGGGCTTATGAACAACTAAGTTAACAAGAAGAAGCCGGCAGCAAAGAAGAAGCCTGCAGGCACGACCAAGACCAAGACTACAGACGGCAGCGTCGACTCATCGACAAAGCAAACCAAATATCCCAGCAATGAAAGGTCGGAGCCCTGGGCCCTTAGAATGGTCCCTTACCCTTGTAGGCATCCGAAGTATGGGCCCTTCCTCCGTGTAGTGTAAGGGACCCAAATTAGGGGCCCATATTTCGGATCCCCGAATCAAGAAGGCAGGAGCAGCGGGAGCCATGTCTGTGGATTCGGACGCCTTAAGTACTAAAATCAGGGCCTCGGCCGCCCTCCCTACGTTATAATAAAGTAAATCCCCTAAACCCCCAGGCCTGTTGCTGGGCGGCGCTGGCATTTTCAGGGGGGCCCCCCTCAGAACCCCTGGGCCCCGCTGCCCCCCGGAGGGTTGCTTTTTTTGTGAACTTGCATTTTGAACCAGGCTGGCGACCGCCGTGACGGAATGAAGAAGTTTTATGGAAAGTAAGCAGTTGCCTTGAGTTTAGGCCTAGACCCTAAAAGGCCCTAAAAGGAATAGGTTTGGGTGGCTTTGCCGCCTCGGACGGCGAGGGGTGGGAGAAAAGTGGTAGATGGCCTTCCACAATTGGGCCAAAGCTGCTCTTCGCGCCTCACGAAGCTTTCGAGCTTGTTCCAAAGCCTAACCTTCACAGCATCTGCGCCCTATCACAGCAAACCCTAAACCCTAAACCCTACACCTGTCGCCATGTTGGCTCAAGCGTTTCAGCTTCTGGGTGGCCCGCTCCCCCGTGCGAAGCCACCTAACACAATGTGCACTCTGGTCTTCAGCAACGGCGGCACATATGCTGACTTGATCTACATGAGCAAGGAATGGGCATCACCCAAAGTCTACCTTGAGCGAGGAGACTTCATCCGCTTGGCCTCACAGCCTGTGGATGGCTTCTGCTCTGTGCCTCCTTGCAACAGGTTAAGGGTTCTGGCAAGATGAAGAACTGGACTGCGTTGGCTTAGCACTGTTTGCAGCTTGCTGCAGCATGCTTCGCCAGTGAATCATTGATGCCAGGAATGTGGTCTATGTGTGCATGGAAGCAAGCCCCCAGGCACTAGGACACTTTGCCCAGTATTGGGATATCGGAGGCCATGCTGAAAGACCGCGAGACCAAGAAGACTTCCCAGCTGGACTTGAGCTACGATGCAACAGGTTTGAGAACATGGATGCTCTAATGGTCGCAAAAACTCCTTGCAGCATCTTCATTGCGGCCCTGGGGAAATGCGCCAGTACGTGCAGTCAGAGGGCGCAGTCGCCATATGGGCATCCATACAGGTGGCAAGTGCCGGGAGGCTGGAGGCGGGTGTCCATACAGGTAGCTACACAAGCGGATGCGGCGAAGGCAAGCGGTTCTTCAGATCTTCTGGTTTGGAGCTGGAGTTTGCAAACGGTTCGCCAGCTGTGTGCCATGGGCCATGTTGGCTTTGTCTCAGCATCTTCTGGTTTGAAGCTGGAGCTTGCAAGCGGCTCGCCAGCTATGCTTCTCTCAAAATCTTTTGGTTTGAAACTAGAGTTTGCGAACGGTGTGTACCATGTTGGCTTCTTCACTGTTTCGGTCTTGCTTCTTTCAAGCTCTTCTGGCTTGAATGCAAACGGCTTGCCAGCTGTCTTGATTTCTGTTTTGTCCGCGGTCGTCGTCTTGTTGGAAGCTGGGCAGCTGGCCATGGCCAAATTTCAAAAGCTCAGGCCAAAGCTCTGATCGAGGCCGTGGTTGATGCTGGCTGCCAGATGGATGCCGAAGGGGGTACTTTGGCAGTTGTTGGCATTGTGACAGGATTAGTGCAAGGAAGAGAAGGCAATCAACGCCCCACTCAGGATTGAGGCGTTCGTACGCCGAGCTGTGTTTGGAGGGCCTGCGTGATTTGCGTGGCCTACAACGGCGACCTCCTTCACCCCACCTTTGGCGCGAAGATGACAACCTCCTGGAGTTGAGCTGCGCTTTCGCGCAGCCATACAGGCTGCTGTCATTGCTGGTGTGCTGGGATGCCAATAAACTATTCACCAGTCAAAAGGTCTTGTTTAATCAATAAACTTTAGAAGAGTCTCTCTGGAAAGGAGAAAAGGGCAGAGCGGAAGGAGAGGGAAGGAAAGGAAGGAAGGAGTACCGCTACCGCTGTAACTACCGCTAACATTGCAATTACCACGGCCATTACCACTGCCACTACTATTGGTGCTGCTACTACTACGAAGATGAATAAATTCTTATTACCACGGGGGGCTCTTGGCTTCTTGGTCTGCGCATCCCTGAGATTGGGAAGCCTTCTCTCCAGCGCAGCTCTGGGAGTCGGGCACACGTGTTTATCAGGACTGATTCTCATGGTTCTATAATTGCTATTCTTATCATTCTTCTGAGTAGCATTAGCGTTTATGACTGCCATTCTTCGTAATATTAGTATATTTATTCGTTTATCAGTCACGTTTGCCGTCAGGCATCGAGCGCATGGTTGCCTGCCTGATGTGTTTGCACGCGATGGAAACACTGTAATTTAATAAGCTATGAAGCTGTAAAAATTGGAGGCTTGCGTTTCGGAAGACACGGTCCTCTGACGTACTTCTTTCTCACTGCTCGTGCAGCCACTTGCACTTTGTGGCGTCATACCGCATGTCTTGTTCCAGAAAAGTCGAACATCCTTGGAAAGAACGCTGTAAATATGGATGTTTTGGGGAGGATTGCCATGCGAATGGAGGTATTACCCCTGCCCCCCCCTCACCCCCCCTCACCCCCCCCTCACCCCCCCCTCAACTTCCCCCCCCCTCCTCCCCCCCCCCCCCCCCCCCTCCCCCCCCCTCACCCCCCCGCCCCCCTTCCCACCCCTCCCACCCCTCCCACCCCCAGTGTCTGACGGCACTGCGTATTCGATTGTTGCTATTGTTGCTATTGGTTCCTTTTGTTGTTACCATTGTTATTATTGTTATTCATACTATTGTTACTGTCAGGACTACGAAGCCTGGGGTGAATCCGTGTTGGTTGAAGAGGATGTGGAAGCAAGGCTGTAACTCCGCAATCTGTTTAGCGTACTTAGTCGTAGAGACCAAAGTGCCAATATTGAGTTATGGACATGGATGCCTTGCCTGCGTGTGCGCTAACTATGAGAGTCGAAACCCTAAACTCCGAAATTCTGGTTCTTCAGTTTCTTTGGGTGCTGGCGGCGGTGTCGAGAACACACTGCCCGGCTGGCCACTCCTGACCCTTCGATACCCTACGCGCGACCTCGACTGGCCCCCTCGGAGTGGTTGTGGCGTCCGAGTGGCAAAAGAAACCCAAAACCCCGAAATTAAACCCCAAAGAGCGAAAAGAAACCGAAACCCTGACGCCCATTCACAACCCAAACCCCAAACACCAAGTCCCAAACCTTGAACCCTAAACCCTAAACCCTGAACCCTAAACCCTAAACCCTAAACCCTAAACCCTAAACCCTAAACCCTAAACCCTAAACCCTAAACCCTAAGCCCTAAACCGAGCCAAAGGAACCAGCGCCTCGGTCGGCAGACATCCTGGGCCGGGCACGGCTCCCTGGCGGAGCTGCTGCGCAGCCAGGCCCATAAGATCAGGGGGCCAGGGTTTAGGGTGTAGGGTTTAGGGTTTAGGGTTTGGGGTTTAGGGTTTAGGGTTTGGGGTTCAGGGTTTAGGGTTTGGGGTTTAGGTTTTAGGGTTTAGGCCTAGGCTTGAGGGGGTTGCTTCTTGTGACCGTGAAGGTTCTTAGTGCTAGCATTGTGAATGTTATTGTTGTTGTTTGTGTTACTCACCAAGCAATTACTGTTGAGAGGGGTCGATAGTAGCAAGTCGCTGTTTTTGATGAAGACTATGAAAATAGTAATGTGGTGGTTCATCGCAACGACTACTTCAAAATGATTGTCGCTTTTGTTTGTTTGTTGTGCTTAGGGGTTTTAGGGTTCAGTTCTAGGGCCTCAAAAGGGGTTTCATGATTGTGGGTTTGAGGGGTTTAGGGTGCAGGGCATAGAGTTGTGGGACGTTCGACACCTGTGGGTGCTGATCTACATTCGTGGGCCGTTCCTGGCACCCGGAAACTTTGGAGAGAAGAGAGAGGCGCCACAATAATACGAAGCAAACCCTAAACCCTAAGCCCTAAACCTTACACCCTAAACCCTCATGGAGGTTTAGAGTTTGAGGGTTTAGTGTTTAAGGGTTTAGGGTTTAGGGTTTAGTGCTTAGTGCTTAAGGGTTTCGGGTTTAAGGGTCTAAGGGCTTAGGGTTGAATGCCCCGATCCCTCTGACTAACATCTGCCTCTTATGTTTTAGGGTTTTGGGCTAACATCTGTCTCCTATGCTTTAGGGTTCTGGGTTTTCAAGCCCTAAACCTGAAGCCAAACAAGCCTTAGTGTCCCCAGCAGGAATTCCGACACTCTGGGGCGCGGGGTGGTCCGGGGCGGGGGCTTCTCCAGCGATTAAATATCAATGGTACATATCATGGTTCGTAGCAATTCTCTGACAAGAAACTCATCTTTCCTTTAGCTAGAACGGAAAAACACATACCCGGAGTCATTGTCAAAAATGCATGCTGAATGTTATAATGTATCGTAGCAACTAGCGCGAGCAAAAACGAAGGCACATACTCATATCCTTACATTACCGTGGGCTAGCAGGGAATGAGGAAATCAGGACCCCTGTATATACCCTTTAAGGGATCATATAGGGTACCTCATCCCCTACTAACCAACAGTAAGACAAAGGTCCTGCGTGCCGGCAAACAGCAAGTCGATCGCTCTGAGCCGTCTCCAGCTGACTGGGCCTTGGGAACCCTGCGCCCTCCCAAAACTAGGAAGAATTACTATGCCCTTATGGTCCCCTTTGAATTTATACTTTAATACCCCCCCCCCAAACAAAAAAAAAACACAAAAGCCCTAGTTTAATTATTTAAGGCCCCTCTAGTAGACCTCCAACGCGAGCACGTCCGGCGATGGCGATGGAGCCGCAGCCGCCGCTTCCGCGCAAGGAGTGCTTGGAGCCCTGGTTCACACGCATCAGCCAGGGCGAGAAGGACCATGCACGCTAAAGCCTAAACCCTAGACCCTAAACCCTAAACCCTAAACCCTAAACCCTAAACCCTAAACCTAAACCCTAAACCCTAAACCCCAAACCCTAAATGGTTCTTAGCCGGGAGTTTGGGAATTGGGCATCCTACAGTTCAGTTGCAAAAAGGGGCTTGGAATGAAAGAACGTGCAGGGTTAAGCCCCTGGACCCTGTCGTAAGCCTTGTAAACCCTGAACCCTAAACCCCAAATCCTAAACCCCAAACCCCTAAACCCTAAACCCCAAACCCCAAACCCCAAACCCCTAAACCCTCCCAAGCTCCTGCAGCCCATGGAGCCCACGCGTTTGTTGTCAGCCGTTTCAGATGCCTCGAGGACATCGAGGGCCGCCTCTTTCGTGGGTTTTGGGCGACGCCTGGCTTTCGGTGGGAACCCTAAACCCTAAACCCTAAACCCTAAACCCTAAACCCTAAACCCTAAACCCTAAACCCTAAACCCTAAACCCTAAACCCTAAACCCTAAACCCCTAAACCCTAAGCCCTAAGCCCTAAGCCCTAAACCCTAAGCCCTAAACCCTAAACCCTAAACCCTAAACCCTAAACCCTAAACCCTAAACCCTAAACCCTAAACCCTAAACCCCAGAATGAAAGAAGCCCAAGGAGTCCATCGTATCCTTTAGGGTTTAGGGTTTTAGGTATAAAGGCCCATCCCAAACCCCCCAAGCCCTATGCAGAAAAAACCCTACACCCCACCCAAAGAGCCCAACATTGCTTAATTAAGGATTATTCCTTAAATCATATAGGGATCCTTAATATGATTTAAGGGTATTCCTCACCCCAAGCCAGGCCCAGTTACATGGCCCCCCTAGCATGGGCCCTTAATGCCCAGCACAACCCAAGAACCCATACGTCAGAACCCTTCTGAAGGAGGCAAGGGGGCTCATATAACTACCCTTCGATTAGCCCCTAAACCCTACACCCTTAACCCTAAACCCTTAACCCTAAAGCCCTAAGCCCTAAGCCCTAAGCCCTAAACCCTAAACCCTAAACCCTAAACCCTAAACCCCTACACCCTTAGGCCCTTAGACCCCAAGCCTCAGGAAGGTGAACCTCGGTGACGTCCTGGAGCTGCACCCAGAAGAGGGGGACAAGTCTTGCCAGGTGCGGGTGGTGAACCTCCACAGGCCAGGGCTTAGGGCTTAGGGTTTGGGGTTTAGGGTTTGGGGTTTAGAGTTTTCGGGTTTAGAGAGTTTTAGGGTTTTAGGGTGTTAGGGTTTTAGGGTTCTAGGGGGGTCTGGGGTTTAGAGTTTAGGGTTTAAGAGTTTAGGCTTGAGGGCTGAGAGAGCCCTCGTTGAAAAGGCTTCAGGGTTTAGGTGTCCCAAGGGTGCCTGCAGGCTTAAGGGGCTCGAGGTTTTATGGGCTTTTGGGCTTAAGCACTGCAGGGTTTAGGGTTTAGGGTTAGGGTTTAGTGTTTAGGGTTTAGGGTTTAGGGTTTAGGGTTTAGGGTTTAGGGTTTAGGGTTTAGGGCTCTAGGGTCTTTTCTGGGGATTTCCCTGCAGGCGAGACAGCTTCGCGGAGCTCATTCAGGACTTCGGCGCGCGGCTGTTGCCTGGGGTAGACCTGAGCGATGTGCAGAATGGCGTGGACATCTACAGGCCTTCGGGGCACTTTTTTTGTAGGGTTTAGGGGTTTAGGGGTTTAGGGTTTA